TAATTTACGCAACATCAAGAGAGGGCGCGCACGGAATTGAACCATGAACCTGCCGATCTGCAGTCGGCCGCTCTACCATTGAGCTACACACCCATGCCAAAAGGCTTCTTTTTGTTTTAGCATTAGTGAATTGTGGACGTTCGTCCAAATTCATGTACTTCATTGGCAGTTTTGTTTTTGTTTTTAATAGCAGTGAAGTTTTATTAGTTTGTGCAGATGCTTCTAAGCCTGCATTTTTGGAGCAGCCGGTGTGGTAAGTGGGTCCAGAGGGGGGCCCCAAGCTGACGCGGTCAAATGCTCGTTTGCTGCAAGCGACTGAAGGTCCCGGGCTTTGGATTAAACAAATATTGCTTGTTGCTGATTTTGTGTTGTTTTATTTCTGATTTAATATAATCTTAGCTCCGAAAGACAACTCGCATGCACTCTTTCAGTGAAATTCCAGCTGCGGCGTCCCGGTGAGTGCCCTCAGCAGGAACATAGGGGCAGTTGCGGCTCCGAAGGCTCATCCATGTATTCCTCCAAGTTTGCCTGTTACTCTTATTTGAGTAGTCAGCTGTGAAGAGGTCATGTTCACTGCAAGAAGCTGCATGCGTTCTCCAGCAGCGCCCTAAAGAGTCATCTTTGGTTTTTGAATGGTCTAGGAGTTTCGTTCGTTAGTACAAAGGAGGGGGGCGTCACCTGTCTGGCCTTTCGGTGTTACCGTTCACCTTTTAATTTGCTCTTTCTCCCTTCTTAATTAACCAGCAAACCGATGGTCTCGATTCGACGCGAAACTTGCAGCAGCTGGAACACCACCACAGTCTGCAGTCCGTCGGTCTTTGGGTCAAGCACCTATCAGCTCAACTCGCCTTGCGTTCACGTTGCCGCAAGCCCCTGTGCTGTTGCTGTTTGTGTTGTTGCTGCAGCCGTCTGTTGCGCTGAACAGCACCAAGGGGCCAACCTCTTCTTTGTTCTCCGGCCATCCCTGCCGTGGAGCAGCATAGGCTAACAGCACAAGCAACAGTTGCACAGGGGCCTCCAGCACCAATGTCTTGCAGGGGATTGCTGCAACAGGAGACGGGGCCCCCTGTGGACATCTCTGTCGGTGTGTTGGGCCGCATCACTGCCTTGGGTTTGTCCAGGAGGCGCAGAAGACGTTCGGCGGCTTCTGCTGCTTCTGCTGCTGTTCGAAGCCAGCAGCGGTGCGGCTGAGTTGCTTCGATTGCTTGTAAACGATGGAAGCGCAACGGAAGGCGTTGCAGCGAGGGGAGGCCCCCAGGATGGAGGGCGTGCAGCACAGCAGCCTCACTACTGATGTGCTGGAGGACTGCGTGGGGCCCCGATGGGACGAGAAGCGGCATGTTCGTCTAGACTTCTCTTCTCCTTTGTTTTGTCTAGAGACGCTTACGGGTAGAGATGGGGGCCTGTTGAACCCGCGGCTGAACCTCAGCAACTTGTTGACGCTCGACATCTCTAACAACGCCTTGACAGACATCGACTCTGTGCTGTCTGTACACAATGGATTCAAGCGTCTGCACACCCTCAAAGCCTCTCGCAACCGAATCACACAAGCGGATCTCGACCTTCCTACTCTTGCATATCTGGACTTGTCGTTTAATCAACTCAAACGCCTCCCCAGATTCGAAGGCATCCGCAATACTGAGGAACTCCTCCTCTCCAACAACCACATCAGCGGTCAGACCCATGCGCAATATACTCACTTGAGCTGTATTTACACCTGCACGCTGTCTACACACTCACAACGCCTGTACACCTACAAGCATAAGTCGCGCTCCTGTATGGATGCTCGTTCTTAATATTGAGATATGCGTGCGTGCATATTTGCGTCTATAACACCATATATAGATGTAATATAATGCGCTTACGTACATGCGCATACACATGAATATATATCTATATGTATATATGCATATATTCAGCGCAGATATAGGGCTATATGTGTATATGTGTACGTATACGTATGCTGACAATATGGCGTAGCCTGCACGCGTACACCGTTTGGGTTGTTAAGTTGCATGCATATGAACGATCTCTCATGAACACAAACACAGAGAAGTAGTGTGGCTTCGACACGGATAGAGCGAGGCCACCCCAGTGGAAGAGAGAGGAGACAGAATGCAGAATATAAACAAGTCACTGCTGCGGGCTCTCAAGGCAGCAAGCAGGCAGCAGCTATTGCTGCTGCGCTTTCATGCCCAGGTGTATCTGAGGAGTCGTGCTCCGGAGAAGAGTGAATGTTTGAATATTCTTTTTATTTTCGTCCGGCTTTAACTTTCTTTCTCCTTGTCGTAGTGACGTGCTTCGGTGGGTTGGTTGTAATTGGAGGGTTTGATGCTTTGTGCTTCGCTTTGCCGTGGTGGAGTTGTTTATTGGAGGGCGGGAGGCCTTGTACTTCAGTGTATCGTGGTGAGGCACCGCGGTGGGGTTGTTGCTATTGGGGGGTGGGATTCTGCGCTGCATGCATGCGGGGCCTGCAGATTCGGACTTGGAGAGTTTCGTGCTGCTGGGGAATTTGCGTGTGTTGGATTTGTCTTACAACCGGATCAGCACTCTCCCCTCCAACTTCGTAGAGGACCTAGCCTACCTCAAGGGACTCACCAAGCTTACGGTAAGGAGGCAGCATTGCCTCAAGCGGCTGTTGCTGCTGATGCTGCTTCAGCCATTCCAGCTGCAGCAGTTATTGCTTTTGTAGAGGGAGGGCGGGGTTTGCATGCTGTTTTGGGATCAGGGTTTTGTTGTGTTGCTTTGTTAGTTTGCGTGATGGGTTCCGTTGTTGCTTGTGGGTGTCTGAGGTGTCTGTACACCGCAGAAAGTTGACTTTCGAGGTAATCAATGCAGCGCGTGGTTCCCGGAGTACGCGGCGGTTTTGGTGGGGAATGCGGTGGCCAGGGGGCAGCATCTTCAGCAACTCGACGGGGAGGCGATCGCCCCGCGTTCAGAAAAAGAAATAACGGAAATGGCAGCTCAAGTGATCGCCAACTTGGAACAGTGAGGCCCACAGCGTGCACGTGTCCATACACCCGACGGCTTGTATGGATGAAACATAACAGCTTTTCATAGGGACAATAAGACACAACACCCGTTTATACGGACAAGCTAGAACACTTGTTTATAGTGACAAGGCGCAGAAACACCTTGTAATAATGATGATAAGACAAAGCAGGATTAGAAAACATCCTCTGGGGGCCCCCTAGGGTTTCAGAGGAAGGGCTACGCACTGGGTGCAGCAGCAGGTGCTGCTGTTTCATTTGGGGTGTATGCGCAGGTACGATTCCATCTACATTGAGCGTCAAGAGGCAGAAGCCACTCGCCCCCGCCTGGCCAAATACGCCATTAAGGTTTGCATGCATCCCCGCCGCATTTGCTGCACTGAGTTCGTGATCTGCGTGCTGCTCTGAGTAGCTCGCCACTCTCTGATTTCCAGTTGGGGGCTTCTATTTGGCAAGGTTTGGTTTTCGCTGTTTGTTCTTCTTGAGGCGTCTCTGTTACTTCGTCGTCCGTTTTCATTGACGAGTCTTTGGGTTTTCTGCTTGCGTTGCTTGGAGTGTCTCTGTTTTCTTGTTCTTTTCCTTCTCCTCAGGGGTGTCTATTTCATATCGTGTGCCTTCTTCTTGACCTGCGTCTGCCTTATATTGTTTGTTTGTTTCGAGCCATCTCTACCGTTTTGCCGCTATTTAAATTGAGGTGTCTCTGTTTTTGCTGTTTATTGTGTGTTGTTATTGAGCTCTTTCCGCTTTTTATCTTTTGCTTTGCTCGAATTATTTCTTCTTTAAACCTTTTTTGTCTTGAGGTGTTCCCGTCTTTTCTTGTCTTTCTATCTTGGGTGCCTGCTTTATCCTCTCTACCCGTGGGCTCACTTCTGTATGTGGAAGCCGCTAGTGTTGGCGTTTGAGAGTTGGAGACTGTCTCTTCAGCAGGATCTGTCTCTGTCTTACTTCCTTAGAGGGAGTGAGGGGCGAGAGAGAAGGGCGAGGCGTGTGTGTGGGTGGGTGTGTGTGTGCGTGTGTGTGCTGGGGTGTACAGACAGCTCTGGCGGGCGATGATGGAGATGTTACTATTGGACGCCTGTCGGAGATCTTAGAGAGAGTCCTCACTATCTCCTCAGATGCATCCGCTGAGCTTGGGGCCACCTTCTACGATATTTGCTTCCGGGCAAGGCAGACGACGCCCTTACAACAGATGGCTGCTGCAGCAGCTGCTGCTATTTCTGCTGCTATTGTTGCTGCTGCCATTTGCTCTGCTGCTGCTGTTGCTGCTGCTGCTGCTCCTAGCATCTTCTGTGTTGTTTTGTTGGGTAGAAGGTCCTGTTCATTTTAACCGGGAGGGGCCTTCGTCCCGGGATTACGCCATCTGGCTGCGAGGTTTGTTGGGTGTTGTTTGGGGCTGGCTGCCGTTCAGGTGCATGCGATGGAAGAGGAAGAGCGAATTTCGACGTTCTGGCGACAGCTCCCTGCTTCAGACAAGGTAATGAGAAGCCTGAGATAGCAACTAGCTAGCTAGCTAGGTAGCTGGCTACCTAGCTAGGTAGCTAGCTAGCTTGCCAGTTGGGTGGCTAGCGGGAGGCTAGCTAGCTAGCTGGTGGATAGCCCCAGCACTTGGCTTTTTATATGGCTGTCCCTTCGCCTTAGCTGTTGACTTGTTGTCTGCTGTCTCTGGCATTGGGTTTGAGTCGTCTGAAGTGCCTTTCTTGTGGGAGGGCTTGCGGCATCTCTGTTGCAAGCGAAGATGCTTGGTCAGCTGCTGCTGTTGTTTTCTGCTGCTTGGGGCTTGCGATGCTGCTGCACATGCGATGGCTGTGGGGCTGCACCTCAGGCCAGGAGAAACGCGGCTAAAGAGTTGGTGCAGAAAGCTCAGCTCGCCTTGGAGGTGTGCGAGGAGGCCCGACCCCTGATCTTGAGGTAGATGTCTATACACTGCAGCAATTGCACCTGTCGTGCTCAGAAAAAGTGCATTCATCAACTATCAAGTAACAATGGCCAACTGAAAGTAATTCAAAATCGCAAACAATAATTATTTAGAATAGTATACCAATAATAATAACTAATTACTTAATTAAAAAAAATTAATTATTTTCGCCTCAACAATGTGCAAAATAAATATACTGCAACAATCAAAATTCAACTCTACCATTTAGGGAGGGACTTTGCGGAGGAAAGTTGGGGAGTAGGAGAAGACATATTGAGAGACGGATGCATGCGTATTTGCTGATACTTCATTAATCTGGTTGCTTGGCCTGTGGATATAAGTAACTGTCTCCATGCTGTGTAAAGAGACACAAGGCTCGCGAGTACTTGAGCGACTGCTGGCATTTTTTGTCTCCTTTTTCGGAGTCTCTTCTGCTGCTGTCCTCTGCTGTCGATCCTGGGAAGATGGCTGAGACTCAGTTTGTCTGAATGCGCGTTGACTCTGTTCTAGTTGGGTCTGCGTGTGCATGTGTGTGTGCAGTTGCATGCTTGTTGTATGTGCACGCTTGTATGCGTGTGTCTTCATGCATGCTTTCTATTGTATGCATGTGCGTTACCTCCTCAATGTCTGTTTGCCTCTCTCTCTCTCTGTTTGTGTGCGTGTATTATGCATGCATATATGAATGTATCTGTATCTATGTACGCGTACAGACTCCTTCCTTGCGCGTGAGATATCGATCTATATAGCTACGTATATGATATATATAATGCATATTTTTAGTGTTTGTTTCTGGTGTGTGTTCTCATTGCTTTTTCCCTTAGAGGCCTGGGGTATCCATGCCTTGTATCTGAGGGGTCACATCTATATATATATACATATATATATATATATATATGCATGTGTGTCCTGTGCGTTGTTATCGTAGAGGCCTGGCGAGTCTATGCCTTGTGTCTGAGGGGTCTCTGGGTCACAAGTTGGCTGCGGTGTTGTCTCGAATGGCGCAGCAAGAGTTTGCTGCTCAGAGTGAAGGAGACGTTGGGGGTATTGCAGCGCAAGTCTTAGCGGAGATCGTTGTGCCTTCTATCCTTGAGGCTGCAGATCAGGTAATAACAGAGCTGCACCCTCTGCATAACGCCAAGGAAACAGAAGAAAGAACAATGACTAAATCACATTAATAACGGCAGAAAAACACAAAAAAAGAAATCTCTGCAGCAGCTTTAAGGGACAATGCGGCACCACTATTATACACCCTAGTACATACACCCTAGCAGTAATACAATCAAATGGACATCAGCAAAACCTAATAAAGCCAAGTAACAGTAAACCCAAATAAAACTCCTACACCTGTCCCTTGTGTATTCGCATTACCAAATGCACGGCAGCAGTTGAAGCGGACCGAAGGAGGTGCAAGGGTGGGGTTGTTGTTTGTTGCTGTTATTGTTGAGGTTGTTGATATTATCATTATTGGTGTTGTTGTTATTGCTGCATGCAGGAGCGAGTAGTGATGGATGTGCTGACGGGCCTCACAGAAGGCACCGAGTGTCTCTCTTTGGCTGTTGCTCTCAGCAGCTGCGTCTCCCTCTTAGCAGACCTCCTTACTGTATCAGGCCCTACACCGTAAGTTAGACGAAAGCCACGACCCCTCACAGAATCAACACCCATACAAATCATATGCTTTAAAAATCAAATGATTTTCTTTTGTGTGGGTGAACAACACCCACACAAAAGAAAATCGCAATGGGGACCCACAACGGCTTCTTGGGGCCCCCACAGTGGCTTATTAGGGGCCTCACAGTGGCTTACTAGGGGCTCCTCAGTGGCTTATCAGGGGCCCCACAGTGGCTTTTTAGGGGCTCCTCAGTGGCTTATCAGGGGCCCCATCACAGTGCCTTAATAAGGGCCCTACAGGGGTTTAGTAGGGGGCCCACCACAGGGGATTCTTAGGGGCCCCACAGGGACTTAATAGGGAGCCCACAAGCGCTTTGTGGGGGCCCCAAAGGGCATGCATGCATGCATGCATGAATGCGTAACTCCTGCGTTGGGGCGTAAAGGCTGCTTATGCAGTTGCGCGTGCAGACGCCGCGCATGCATGCGTGCAAGCATAAGCAACTGAGGCTTTCGGGCTTTGAAGAGGGGCTATTCAGAGGTGTATGCTGACGCTTCTCTTTGCGTGTGTTTGTAATTCGTGTATGCTTGTGCATGCTTGTGTTATTTGTACGTTTGCGTCGTTTTACTGTTGGTGTTGTTTGTTTTTTGCGTTATTGTTTGTTGCTGGCGTTGTTTATTGTTGTTGCAGGCACCTCTGTCGCGTGCTGTGCGTCATTTGTCTTTCACAAGAAAATTGTGTGGAGGCAACCGGCCAAGGCATTCCTCAGGTGCAATTCTTTAAAACTCGCATCCCTTTATTAAGGTGTATCCGTAGCTTTGCTTGTAACTATATATATATATGTATATATAAGCTTCAGATACACCTAAAGCGGTGTCAGTTTGCTGTTTATTTGCAGTTAACTCCGGTGTCTATGCAGTTGTTGTTTTAGAAGTTCTGGGGCCTGGAGGGGGTGTGGGACTGTATGTTGGATATGCATGCACCCATACACTGGGGGCATTCTGCTTTTAAAGATAGCTGCTGCTGTTTGTCTTTGGGGTGTACGTACAGCTGCTGTGCCGTCGCGTGCTGGACGAGGGAGTGCCTGAGGATGACCAGGGCCTCATGTTGTTTTGTGATATGTGCATCATCATGGGGTGAGAAATAGAAACCCAAAGTGTCTCCGTCTTATGTGTGTCTCCTTTGCTGTCTCTTTTCCTTTGTCTCTTCTTGCCTGTCTGTTCTGTTGGCTCTCGTGCCTTCCTGCGTCTGTCGCTTATTATGTATTTTCTCTCGTCTGCTTTCGCTTGTTTGCCTATTCTTCTTCTTCCTCCTCTCTCTTCCTCTTTTTCTATTTCCTTATTTTGCGTGTATGTAGAAGTACATATATATATACATATATATATTTGTCTTAATGCAAGAAGAGTTTGTGTTGTTTGTTAGGCGTCATGCATAGCAAACTCAAAATCTGAATATACACATACGCATAAACACATCATATATACATGCATATATATATATATATGTCCACATGTATATATATATATATATATTGATATATATTTATAGATAAATACAAGAAAAGTTTGTGTTAATTGTTAGGCGTTGTGCCTGGCACAATCGAAAGGCTTCACTGCATTTGACTCGGGCTGCAATTCACACTTCGATTTTTTTGCCTAAGTTGAGGGACCTCATTGGAGAGAGAGAGGCTACCAGTCGCCTTCCTATTCCTCAGGTACTTGCATGCAGTTTCTTTATCGTCTTTTGCTTCTTCTTTGTCTTCCTTTTCTTCGTTTTCGTCTTCTTTGTCTTCTTTTCCCTCTTCTTTCATCTCTTTCTTTTCCTTCGTCTTTCGTCTTCATCCTTTGCTTCTTCTCACGTCTTCTTTTTCTCTCTTTTCTTATTTTTCTTCTTTTGTCTTCTTTTTCTTCTTTTGTCTCCTTCTTCGTTTTTTGTCCTTTTTCATCTCTTGTCTTCTTTTTCATCTTTTGTCTTCTTTTTCTTCTTTGTCATCCGCCTTTGCTTCTTCTTTTGTCTTCCTTTTCTTCTTTTGTCTTCTTTTTCTTTCTTTTTTTCTGACTTACCTTTGCTTAGCAGTGTTGAACGGGGCAGCGTTCTTCCCCCTTTGCATCACCAGGTTACATGCATGCCTTTTCATTTTTCTTCTTGTTTTGCTTCACCGCTGGGCTCTTCTTTCTTAATGAGGGAGTTCATGCTTTCGGTTGATAACAATACTCCCTGAGGTGTATAGGCACCTTCGCTTCTCTGCCTGCAGGCCAAAGTCGCCGGAGCCATCATTGGGGCCCTCACAGGGATGATCCGCAGCTGCGACGAAGTGCGCTAAACCCTAAACCCTAAACCCTAAAGCAGCCCTACACCCTAAACCCTTAAGCGAACCTACACCCTAGAGCAGCGCAAAACACTAAACTAGGCCGCATCTCAAAACCCTGTGCATCACACCAACCTTAAACCCTAGAACAACTCTAAACATGAAAACCTCAAACAGCCCTGAGCCTTAAGCCTCCCTTAAACCGCAAACTTTGAACGCTAGCCCCCACGCAGTTTTAGCGTGTTTAGTTGATTGAGTCAGTGAATGTTATTTTCGTTGGATGTTTCGGGTGTACGTACACCTCAGGCCATGGACATCTGCTGCGACAACTACCACCTTATAGACCTTTTGCTGCCTGCGCTGAAGGAGGAAGCTGCCGACCCTGTCATCCTCGCTGCCAGCTGCACCGGTGCATGCACTTGCTATTTGTTTCGTTTAGCATTTAAGCTCTTGCCGTTTGTTTCTCTTCTCCCTCTTATTAACACTTCGCCTGTTCGTTTTTGTCTCCTTTTGTTAGCATGGCTTTCCGGGTGTAGACGCTCTTCCTTCATGCGGGTTGCAGCATTAATGCATGCACTTGGCGGGGGAGGCGCCGCAGATAGTGGAGCGAGCGTCTGCTACCTTCTTTAGGGTTTAGGGTTTAGGGGTTGTGGTGGGTTGCCGTTCTGTGGGTCTCTCATCAGCGTACGTATCTGGTTTTTGTTTATGTGTTTCCTCTTTTCATCGTTTAATTTGGTGTCTGCTTCTGTTGCTGCCGTGTCTGCATGTTTGCTGCATGCATGCATGCATGCATGCAGGGGTGCGGGTAATACTTGAAAACCCTCGTCAGCGAGCCGAGCTCCTTCAGTACGTAACTGAAGAAATGCGGGGGTTTGAGGGGCTGCTGCAATATTTGGGGGGGACCCGATACACCGCAATGTGTGACAGAGCGGAGTTGGCTCTAAGGAATATTAACCAGGTAATTAATTGTCTCCTTTAGTTGTTTCTTGTTTTCCTCTTGTATGTTATTTGGCCTCTGGGCTTGCGGGGTTGGGGTTTATAGACGATGCAGATAAAGCTCTGCATGCACTTGTGTGTTGTTTTAGTTAGGCTGGGTTCCTCTGTGTTTGAGTTTGTCTCCTTTTGCTTTTTTCTTTATTTTGTGTCTGTCTCCTTTTGGCTTCTCTTTTTGTGCTCGTGCTTGCTTGTCTCCTTTTGTCTTTTCTTCCTTTGCTTCTCTCCTTTTGTTTATTCTGTTTGCGTTTATCTTCGGTGCTGCTGTTTTGACTCTAGACGACTGTCTCCTGTGTCCTGCCTCTTTTGTCTCTTTTTTCTTCACGTGCTGTCTCTCTTTCCGCTGTCCTTCGAGGAGCCGCAGTACCATATAGACAGCCTATCGGGTCGAGGGTTTAGGGTTTAGGGTTTAGGGTTTAGCGTTTAGGGTTTTGGGTTCAGGATTTAAGGCAAAGGGTTTGGCGTGTCGGGTTCCGCATTTAGGCTTTAGGGTTTAAGGTGTAGACTATAGGGTTTTAGGGTTTGGGGTTTAGGGTTTAGGATTCAGGGTTTAGGGTTTAGGGTTTGTGGTGTACGCACAGCTGCCGTATGTGCCGGAGCGCGTGCCGTTGAACCGCCTGACGAATATTTACGCGTGTCGGGTGTTGGCGTCGATTTGCAATTTTCTTGCCTTTTACCTCGCAGAGGAGACAGATCAAATGGTTCAGGTAGGGAGGGTGTCTCTTTCTGTCTCTTTTTTGCTGTATGTCTCTCTGCTGATGTCTGTCTAGTGCTGCCTGTCTCTCTGTTGATGCATCTCCATTGCTGTTTGTCTCTCGCGTGCTGCCTATCTCTCTGTTTCCGTTTGTCTCTGTTCTTGTCTCTCTTCTGCTGTCTCAAGAGACGCAGCTTTGTTAGAGACCGACAGCTTTATTAGCTGCAGCCTTATAAAGCTAGACAAGAGAGAGGCGTACAATGCAGAGAGGTTCTGTGTATACGCTTTGTTTGGGGTTGTCTTTAGGGTATTGCTGAGGAGCTGTTTGCTGCGCATCGCGAGAAAGCTATTGTAGATGTGCTGGAAGTAAAAAACGAAGAAGTTCTTGTTGCTGCTGTCGAGTGTCTTAACAGCATACCGCTCCGCTATATCACCAAGGAGACAGTAGCTTTGCTGCTCAAACTCGTGAACAGACTCCCCTTTCCTCACGCGGGTTCGATACCCACCAATCTGCAAACACATCTCTTTTACTGTAGCTGTCTCAGTTCATCAAACTCATAACCTGACTAGCTTTCCTCGCGCGGGTTCGATACCCACCAATCTGCAAACACATCACTTTCATTGCAAATGCCTCCGTTGATACAACTGTCTCCACAGCTGCTGCTGCAGCTGCTGCTGCAGCTGCTGCTGCAGCTGCTGCTGCAACTGTCTCTTGCTTGCCAACTGTCTGGGGAGCTTCCTCTGTCTCCGTTGCAGACAGTTGAGGAGACAGTAGGCTGTTTATTTGTTTATATTATATACTGCGTGTGCTGCGTGTTGTGTGCTGTGTATCTGTATTCTCCTTTGCATTTTGTGCTGTCTTTTGCTTGCTGTATATTGCATGTTTTCTGTTGTTTGCCGTATTTTGTGTACTCTTTGCTATATATATATATATCATGTATATATGATATGTGTATATATATATATATGATATATATATATATATGTATATATATATATATATATATCATTCTCTATGCTCTCCGGTGTATCCTCCATATTGCATGCTGCATATTGCGTGCACTATGTTGCATGATGTGCGTTGCATCTTGCACGCACGCGCATGCATGCAACATGCGCATGCATGCAACATACGCATGCATGCATGCATGCAGCATGCATGCATTTATGCATGCATGCTTTGTGTGCGTGTGTGTGTGTGTGTGTGTGTGTGTGTGTGTGAGTGTGTGTGTGGTATTTATGTGTGTGGATGAAGCGTTTGAATAGGTGTTTTGTCTTTGTTGTTTTTTTGCATGCATCTTTATGTTTTTTAGGTTTATCTTCTTCCGTGTTGCAGTCTGTAGTAAAGCTGCTGACTCGGCTGGCCCTTTGGGAGTCTCCTCAAGTGCATGCAGTGTTGTGGGGTATGCATGCGGCGGAGACAGTTAATGCAGTCTTTGATGTTATTTACCGCAACCTATCGACACTGAGAACGCCTGCAAGGTGATGAAGCTTTTATCTCGCTTCTGTCTCTGTTGTTTTCTCTGTCTCCTTTCTATGTTTTGTCTTTTCATTATCTTCTGTCTCCTCTGTCTCCTTTCTATTATTTGTCTCCCCTGTATCTCCGGGCTCATCTCTCTCGCCTGGCGCTCCTATATCTGCTTTTTATTATCTCTTCTGTCTCTTCTGTCTTTGTCTCTTCTGTCTCCTCTTGTCTCTTTTGTCTCTTCTACCACTTCTGTCTCCTTTCTCTTGTGTCTCCTTCTCTTTTTTCTGTCTCCGTTCCTGCCCCCGCCTCCCTTCCTCTGTCTCCTTTGTGCCTTGTTTCTGTCTGCATTCTCTCGTTGCTTTTGTCTGTCTCCTTTCTCGTGTTGTTTTTGCCTGTCTGCATTCTCTTGTTGCTTTTGTCTGTCTCCTTTTGCTTGCTGTCTTTGTTTGTCTCCTGTCTCGGGCTGTCTTTGTTTGAGTGTCTTATAATACGTGTGCATTTTCTGTCTCTTCACGCAGCCTAATGCATCTCCCCTTCATTTCAGTGTCTGTCTCCTTTCACCTTTCAGTCTCCTCTTCTGTGCTGTCTGTCCCTTCCTTTTGTCTCTTATTGTGTCGTTGCTTCCGTCTCTCCTCCTCTGTCTCTCTGTCTGCTTCTATTTGCTGCATGTACAAAGAGCTTCGCCTTGCTGCTGCACCTCCTTTGCTGCCTCCACAGCGTACAGTAGCCGCTTGCTGCTGCTGCTTGCTGCTGCTACTTGCTGCTACTACTTGCTGCTGCTGCTTGCTGCTGCTGAAAGGAGACAGGAGGCCTTTTATGCATTTGGAGTAATCTGCTGGAGGAGACAGTTGCTGGGTTTATTTGTTTGCATGCATTTGTGAATGAACAGAAAAGCAGTGATTGAAAATATGCATGCACTTAACCGGGTGTCTGTACACTTCCTCCTCGCCGCCTCTCGCGTCTCTTCTGTCAGAGACACCATGAGGTAAGCCGAGCAGGAAACAAACCCTAAGCCATAAACCCTAAACCCTAAACCCTCAGCAGCTTCATGCGCAGGATTCGGCTACAAACCCTAAACCCTAAACCCTAAACCCTAAACCCTAAACTGTCTCAACCCCAAACCCTAAGCGTTAAACCCGAAGGGCAAAGAGGAGTGTACTACCCTCAAACCCTCATTTTTCTAAACCCTAAGCCTTAAACCCTTGAAATTAGGGTTTATTCCTATCCTCTTAAACCCCAATCTGATAAACACCCTCTCCTTCTGTCTCCTTTTTCTCTTTTTCTCTGTCTTTTTTCTCTCTTCTTCCCTCCCTGCGGAGCAGCATATCGAGCTAAACCCTAAAATGCATTATACTTTATGCCTCCCCCTCTAAACCCTAAACCTTAAATCCTAAGTCCTCGACTTTAACCCGTAAACCCTAAACCCTAAACCCTATGCTGTGGGGTTTGTGTGCATGCAGGCTGAAGGGAGTGGTGTCTCTGTTTGGGCCAGTGCTTGAGGCTGAGCAGCAGGTGGATGTACACCCGGATGGGTTTGATGTTGTCGTTGAAAGGACGTGGACAGGGAGAGATGTAAATGTGCTGCTTACTTCTTTGTCGGGGACACACAAACTTAACCCCAAAAAGAAGGAAGCCTTTCGAATTGTCTGCAGACTCGCTGATATTATTCAAGGGTGGCCGGATACACCCGACGCAGCAAAAGATCTCAGCCTCAGGGTGCCTCCTCCTGTCTCCCTTTCACACTTCTGTCTCTTCTTTACTCGTCTTCTCTTTTCTGTCTCTTCTTTATTTGTCTTCTCTCTTTTTTGTCTCGTGTGTCTTTTGACCTCTTGCGCATCTGCTCTACTTGTCTCTCTTTTGTCTTTTCTGTCTCCTACTGTCTCCTTCTCTCTCTTCTGTCTCTTCTTTACTTGTCTCCTCTCTGCCCTCTCCTTTGCTTGTATATTTTCTGTCTCTCTCTTGCTTGCCCCCGTTGTCTCTCTTCTGTCTCCTCCGTTCCTTATCGCTTTGCTGTCTCCATCTGTCTTTCTTATGTCTCTTCTTTGCTTGTAGTTCTTCTGTCTTTTCTTTATTTGTCTCTCTTCTGTCTCCACCACCCTTTCTTCTCTTCGCTTTTCTCTCGTTGCCTCTCATCCTTCTTCCTCCGCTGCTCCTGCTGTCGCTGCTGCTGCTACTGTTGCTACTGCTGCTATTGCTGCTGCTGTTGCTGCTGCTGCTGCAGGCGCTGTGCAGCCGCGAGGGGGAGATGTGGGACGACGATGCTGCACTGAGGAGACACCTGGAGATGGATGACAGAGAAGAGTCGGAGAGAGCGCCTCAGCAGACAGTAGGCCTCCGCAGCCTAAACCCTAAACCCTAAACCCTAAACCCTAAAGTCTCGACCGGAATCCGTCTAGAGTTTTGTGTTTAGGGTTTAGGGCTAAGGGTGTATTATGGTTTACGGTCTAGGGTTTAGGGTTTAGGGTTTAGGGTTTGTGTGGGTTTGCAGGATTTTGTTCGTCTCTGCATTGCAGAGCGTTTGTCTCTCTTGCTGACTCCGCTGTGCAGCCACAGCACCACCCAACGTTATGCGTGAGGCTGTCCCCTCAGCTGTCTCCTTTTTAACTGTCTCCTTTTAACTGTCTCCTTTTAACTGTCTACTTTTGACTGTCTCCTTTTAAATGTCCCCTTTTCAATCGTTTCTTCCTCTGTCTCCTTTTTAACCGCCTCCTTTTTGACTGTCCCCTTTTTGGCTGTCTCTTCTTCGGCTGTCTCCTCGAGCGTCTCCTTTTTAGCTGTCTCCTCAGCTGTCCCCCTCAAACATTCCTTGCTGCTGCTTCCTACGCACTGTCTCCTTGGCGTTGATATGCTAGCAGCAACTGCAGCAGCAACTGCAGCAGCAGCCGCAGCAGGCGGAGTCTTCGCAGTTGTGTGTAGCAGCCACGGCAGCTGCATGCATAGGATTTAGGGTTTAGGGTTTAGGGTTTAGGGTTTATGCGTTACAGGAGACAGCGAGCGATGAAGCAGCACGCGGAGTATTGGGCGGGGCGTCTTAAGGCGGACATCGAAGACGCTGAGGAGGAGATAGCGAAGGCAAGCAAACTTGTCTCTTCCTTTTATTTATTTTATAAATAGAAAATATAATTATATATATAATTTTATATTTCTAATTATATATATAGGTGCATCGGTGAAGAAGAATATGCTATTTTCATCTATTGCTCTTATAACAGTGCGCTGTTCTTGAACAACGACTTACTGCGGCTTCTGCTGCTGCTGCTGCTGCTGCTGCTGCTGCCTCTGCTGTTCGCTGCTGTTGTTTCTGCTGCTTCATCTTCTGCTGCTGCTGGTTGGGCTGCTGCTGGTGCTGCTGTTTCTGCTGCTGACGCTATTCCTGCTACTGCTGCTGGTGCTGCTGCTGCTGAGCAGGCAGAAGAAGAAGCAGCAGCAGAGGAGGAGGAGGAGACAGCAGTACTGCAGCAGCCGCAGCAGCGCAGCGACTTGTTGAGGGCAATTGCACAATCAAAACCGCGAAGTTGGCGGGAGAGGGTTCAGAACAGAAGCCGGCCTCACCATCAGCAAACAACAAACGGTGAGAGCAATAAACCCTAAACCACAAACCCTGACACAGGATACTCCGAGGGTTTAGAGTTTGCTTCAAGTTAGGGTTTAGGGTTTAGGGTTGCACTGTCTGCCTCATTTATGTTTATGTTTGTTGCAAACAGCACAAGCAAAGAAAAAGAAAAAACAAAAAGACTCTTTAGAAGAACTGCAAGATGATCCGGTGTATGCGGACCTCTACGGCAAACCCGAAGAAGGAAAAACAGTGAGCAGCAGCACGAAGCAGCAGCAGCAGCAGCAGCTGCTGCTGCTGCTGCTGCAGTAGCAGCAAGAGCAGAATAAGTTTCAGCACCAGTGGAAGCAGCAGCTGCAGCAGAAGAAGCAGCAACTGCTGCTGCTGCTGATGCAATAGGAAGAGCAGGCTCATAAGCAGCAGCAGCCGCAGCTAGTGTATCAGCTGCCGCAGCAATAGCAAGAGCAGCAGCAGAGGCAGCAGCAGCAACAACAGATAATGCTGCCGCTGTTACTGTTGCTGCCGCTGCTGCTACTGTTGCTGCTGCTGCTTGTGTGGGGAGGAGCACCGGTTGCGTGCGTCTTGCATTCGAGTGTATAGGGAGCATAAGTCTTTTTTGGGGTGTATTCGCATCTATTTGCTGCTGCTGTCTCCTTTCGGGTGTATGCACAGGGTCGCGAGCGTCTTATGCAGAAGCTGATGGCAGCAAATTTAGACCCAGGTGTCTCCTTAAATCTCCCTAATAACAGCTGGACATACACCGCACCGCCTCTCTCTGATTCTTCTTCTTTGGGCTCTGCAATGCATGCAGTGCATGCACTGCATGCAACGACTGTGGGGCTGCATGCGCTGCATGCACTGCATGCTTGAATTGCATGCAATGCATGCAACGCATGCAAGCAATGCATACAACGCATGCAAGCAATGCATGCGAGCAATGCATGCAATGCATGCATTGCATGCGTTTAGTTGTGCATGCGCTGTTTTCTTCAGAGCCTGATTTGGCTGCGATGTATTTAAACAACACCGTGGATTTGTATGGAGAGGACGGGGTGGGCGTTGGTTTGTTAACAACCCCACCTAATAAGCACACTGAGTTTATAAGGAGAGGGCCTTCTGTCTCTGCTTCTTTTTGTCTCCTCTCGCTGTCTCCTTGCTGATGGTTATGAAGATGAATGCTGCTTTGTTGTGAAGACAATGTTTATTATTTTGTCTCTCTCTTTATTATTTTGTCTCTCTTTCTTTGTCTCCTTTTCTGTCTTTGTATGTCTTTATTTGTTTCTCTCTCTTTTCTGTTTCTTTCTTCTACTTTTGTCTCCTTGTATATTTAGTTGTCTCCTTTTATGTGTCTCTTACTGCCTTCTCTGTCTCTTCTTGCTTTTTGTTTGTTTTTTTTTGCTTTCTCTAGTGTCTGTCTCCTTAATTGCTGCACATGCATGCACTTCTCTACTGTTTATTCTTTGCGTCTATCTTTCTTTCTTTTGCTTCTTTGTTTGTTTTGTTTATTTGTTTGATTTTTTTCTTCTCTGTCTCTGTCTCCTTTTTGCTGTCTCCTCGCAGCTATGGGCGAACTTCCACGCCGCAGAGCTCCAGCCATGTTATATCATTGCTGCTGCCTTGAGGTTAATACTTGCTGCTGCTGCTGTTGATGTTGCTGCTGCACCTGCTGCTGCTGCTGCACCTGCTGCTGCTGCTGCACCTGCTGCTGCTCTTCCTCTGGCTACAACTGCTCTTGCTGCTGTTGCTGCTGCTGCAGCAGTTCTTGCAACTGCTGCTACTGCTCTTCGTGCTGCAGCTGCTGCTCCTGCTGTTCATTTTGCTGCTGCTGCTGCTATATATTGCTTACGTGCACTTAGAAAGATGCTTGTGCTTAGCAGAAGTTGTTGAGGGTTTGCACAGAGCGAAGTGTCTCCTTTGCTTTCGTTTTTAACATCTGCTGTCTCCTTTGAATTGCCTCCCCCTAAACCCTAAGACCCTAAACCCTAAACCCTTATTATTTAAACTGGGTTTGTGTACACTGTCTCGTCTAGGGGTTTCTTACGGGGCTGTTATATATAAATAACACAGCAATAGTATAATATATTGTAATAGAAAAGCAATGTATTGAATAATAATAAAGTGTGTCTATATATATATATATATGTAGATGTTATTATTATAATATCACAAAAAAACCGAAGGCAATCAAAGGCTGGTGGTTTTATCGCAGTTTTTGTTTTGTTTTTCTCTGTATTTGTTGTTGTTATTCATTCTTTCCTTTTCGTTTACTTTATATATTATATTAATATTATATTATATTATATTATATTAATATTATATTATATTATATTATATTATATTATATTATA